CCTGCTGAAAACAAAGTCCTTATCGAGCTTACCTTACATGAGGAAAACTGGATCCCTCTCTAGATTTGTATATCAGAATGATTGCACATGTATTTTCAGGAGAGGGTTAAAAGAAAGAAACGTATCATTTCGTGTCTACAAGGCATACAAATGAATGTCAAAGCTTAAAAGATGGGAAAACATCATTCTTGTATTAAAAGGTTTTGCTTGCTTCTATCTGTTCTTTTTTGTGGGTCAGTGGAAAAGCTGAGAAGCTCTTTCATCTTTTCTTTTTTTTTTTTTCTTCTTTTCCCCTGCAGTGTGTTGGGCTACCTGCTTCTGTGTTTACTCTTGTCTGATTTGGACATAGCGGATGCGAGCAATGTGGTGTTATTTCTTTCTTGTAGTGGCCTTCAAGTCCACTGCACTTGTTAATGCACTTCCCACTAAAAGTAGATTATGGAAGTATTTGAACAAGGTTTTGTGCTTAATGGGAACCTCTGAACAGAGGAGATGTAAAAACGTCATAGGTGGAAGAATGTACGTGTTCATTCTGCACTAAAGCCATTCTCATAAAAATACCATTTTATTTGTCAGAAAGACACTTTTATTTTGTTTCTGTTGTGGTTTAACTCTGGCTGGCAACTAAGCACTACACAGTTGCTTGCTCACTACCCCCCAGTGGGATGGCGGAGAGAATCGGAAGGGTAAAAGTGAGAAAACTCATGTGTTGAGATAAAGACAGTTCAATAGGTATAACAAAAGCTGTTCGCATGGGCAAAGCAAGGAATTCATCCACTACTTCTCATCTGTAGGAAAGCAGGGCTCCATCACACATGGTCAGTTACTTTGGAAGACAAATGCCATCACTCTGAACGTTCCCACTTCCTTCTTCTTCCCGCAGCTTTATATTGCTGAGCATGACATCATATGATGTGGAATATCCCTTTGATCAGTTGGAGTCAGCTGTTCCAGCTGCATCCCCTCCTAACTTCCCCACCCACTGGTGGGGTGGTGTGAGGAGCATAAAAAGTGTGTAAGCACTGCTCAGCAGTAACTATAACATTGCTGTATTATGGACACTTTTTTGTCACGAATCCAAAACATAGCTCCATACTAGCTACTTCGAAGAAAATTATCCCAGCCAAACCCAGCACAGTTTCTCTTTATCTGTAAATCTGCAGTTGCAGCAACAGGCATAAGTGTTTGGAAAACACGATTGCAATGTTACCAACTACTAACTTTATAGATTGTTCATATAGATGAGCAGGCAGTTGCACCTATTTTTATTTAACTGTGTTTTAAGAGACGGTAAATAGCATTTGTTTCTGGTAACATACAAAAGCGATTTACATGTCTGCAAACCATGAGGAGGAGTTAGGTGTGGTGGCACAAGACTGTGGTTCTACGGCTGCGTTAAGGGGGTACACTTCCAACAAGTATCCCTTCTCTTCCACTGCCGTTACTCTTCTTGAAGTTGTGTGTGGTAACTTGATCAAAGAACTGATCAGTCTGAGAAAAAGTTGTGTTGTTTCATCTCCTGTTCGTAGCTGGTCGCTCAAGTACTCATGTAGGTATCAAGGCTGAGTTAAGTGTGAGACCTCCTGTTAGTGGCAGCAAGAATTCTGCTTGTCAACTTAAGCAAATGGTACAGGCTATTTTAAACTTGGTATTTCTTGCTTAGTTTCTTTATTTTTCAAGATAGTTCCCATTCTGAATGGCAGAAATAGGAAGACTTGAAAATACTACGCTATGTAGTTTGTCTGGATTTACGTCCTTGAAGACTGTCAGTAGCCAAGGACGCTTCTGATATTCTTTTTGTAGTTTTAGTGGGAAATTGATTTTACACTGACATACATAGGCAAGCAAATCATCAGCATGATTCAGTTTTTGCCTTGAGTTGCCTTAACAGTGATAGTATTTGGGTGATTGTGACTTTCCCTTTGGAATATCTGTTTCTTTAATCCTGGTTTATTCACACTGTTCAGAAAAAGTCACAAAACACTGCCTGCCTTACTTCTTGTAGAACTGAATGGTTTGGGATGAGTGAGATGAGGGACAGCAGAAGGGGAAAGGAAGTTGAATGCTGCACTGGGAAATCAAATGTCTTCCTATGCAGTCATCTAGGATACAAAGCAGGGCCTTAAAACAAACTTGTCACAGGTGTCTATTGACTTGGTTTTATTTTTCTGTTATATCTAATTTGGGATGATACATTTTTAATTGCAATTTAATTGTAATTATGGTCCTTGGAAGATGAACCCTGTGATGGTGGCCTGAATTTCTTAAGTTGGAACTCAAAATGAGCTTTAATTTTGGTTCTTCTTAGTATTCTCATTCACCTGTGTTGAATTTCTCAAGAATAATTTTTTCTTTTGGGAGGGGGGAAATAACATATTTTTAAAGAACACATGCAAGAAACTGACAATGCCAGAGAAGACAGTGGTGTGGAAATCAAGCAGTCTGTATTCAGTGTAGTGATGCGATTGTATATATTGCACTGTTTGGGAACCCAAAAGTATAGAACGAGAATAAAAGGAATAACTGAGTAGTTGACCAGTGAAAATAATGAACGAGGCAGTGGTTGTGGAGGAGATTGCAGAGGACGACTCGTGGAATCACTTGTGAAAATACAGGTAGACTAAACTTTTCCTTTTTTCCAGTAGACATCTGCTGTCCGTATTGTGAAATGTATTGACTGTATCGATTGATTCTGAGGAGTTTTTTCGTTGCCATCTATTGTTTTGAGATTTTTCCAATACCCTCCTCCCTCTCCCCCCTCGCTCTGCTCCCCTGCCTCAGCTTGCTGGGTGTGCAAAAAAATCCAAAACTAAGTGGGTGTCTCGTCAATGATGAAGTTACTTAGGTTTTATTTCTGGAATGCTCTACTGAAGGAGAACTTGAAGTTGTTTTCCCAAATGGGAATGAACTAAAAAAGAAATATAGCAGATCTGGTAGCCGTTGCTGTTGCTGAGGTGATAGGAATATATTGTAAAAAGTAAAATTCAGGTCTTCGGAATATAATACTAAACCAGCTTTGTGAAGGGTTGAAGATGTGTGGAATAGGAGCCTGTATTTAGGCTCAGGAGTGGACACTAAGTATTGAAAAGAATTATTATTTTTTTTCTTCTATATGGGCATACTCTGGAATTTTGGTTCATTTGTGTGTCTTTCAGTGTTTGCTGCTCTATAACTGGGAGTGAGAGGTCTGAATATTTCAGTTAACAAGTAATGATCTGCTCTATGTATTCTATACTGAAGGGAGGAGGAAATTAATTCATTACCTACTTTAATGCTCAGTTTGTGATGCTCTAATATTTTTTCACTAGAAAACTGCAAGCATGACTGCTTATTTTGAAGATTTGCGTGGAATGCCTTCCTTATTGGTTATGTTTCTTGTCTTCTTAGTTTAATCCCTTTTTCTTACTTCCTTGTTGGCAAATAATTTTACCTCTTCTTATAGTTAAGAATATACATCCTGTGTTGTTTTGTATTTCTTTTTTTCTGTGTTTGGAGAGTGCTTTCATTTATATAGTGAGCATAGTGTTCCCCCTGCCTCCTGTTAAGTAGGGCAAGATTCTTGGAAAGGCTGCGTGAGTAGGGGTGGTGACCTGAATGGCTGTGTTACCTGGTACAAATCGAGGTAAAGAGTTTTACTTCTGAAGTTATTTTGTTCTTCTAAATATTTCTGAAACTTTCATGAGCAGTCTTTATGTAGTTTCTATTAGTGTAGTATGTTGAACACGAATTGCTTCGACTTTTGTGCACTACAGTTCAATCTGTTCAATTCGTTTGGCATAGAAAGAATGATTTATAATACCTTGCAGGATAACATAGTCAGAAGCCAATGTCTTTTGTTACTATCCAAAGATCAAGGCAGAGCTGAATCAATAGACAATCTGTGCTATGTTTTGTTTATTACAGCTTGGCACTTAAAATATTTGGCTTTATAGCCTGTTTTAGCTTACGCAGTTAAATTACTCACTATATGAAGTTGCAAGTAATAGAAAATACATAAGGAACTCGTAGGCTAGCAGGCAACTTAAATTTCATCAGCGAATATATGTATGAATGTTAAATTTAAGTTGAAATGTATAACATAGTGTTTGACCATTATTGCTCTAATTGCAGCCAAGAGGCAACAGAAAACATGGTGCATCATTTATCATCACTAGAGCAATTACAGGTAAATATGACTTGTTCTTATGTTCATGACTCATAAGAATGCTGTGTGGATTGCTTGTAAAATTTACGATTTCTCCTCTTTAGGGTGACTAACGTAATGGGAATAGAGTGCAGGATGTGTTTTCAGGAAGATATTTTCTGATTATCGATATTGCTGTGTTATTTTTATGTCATTTTTATGAGCTTTCTTGCTTCTGCTAGCTTATTGGGACAAACTTCTAAGCCATACATCTAAGAAGTTTAAAAGCTCTGTTGTGCTTTGCAAAATGTTCTTGAGTTTTTTTTTTTTCTCTAGCAGCTCTTATATTGGGCCGTTTGCCAATTAGAGACTTCTACAAGGAAGCTTTACATTATGGTCATCTTACATTGCCATTCAGGACTTGGTTTATGCAGTAAATTGCATTTTCATCCAGTAGGAATTTCTCTTACAATTTACAAAGATGTGTAGTGATTTTTTTGATCTGCCTTTTGCTTTTACTGTAATGTAAGTATTCACCGGCCAAAGATAGAGTGTTTTTCCCTTATTACCTTTTTTTTTTTTGTGAGAATTTCTGAGATTCTGTGTGCAGTAAGCTGGAGAATATTTTTAAAATGCTGGATATATAATTTCTGCCTTTTTTTTTGTTGTAGGTCCTGCATTGTTTGTGCTCCGATACATCTGGTACAGGTAGGTTTGATTAAAATAATGGTAATATTTTTATAGCTTTTTAATTTGATGGAGAGTTATTTTAATGACAGTAACAGTTTAATGAGCAACACTCATGCGATTTGTAAATTTAACTTCTGATTCAAAAGGCACTTAAATGGTCCCAGATACGTATTGGGATAAATATAGTGTTCCTGGAGAATTTGAAGATACCAGTTCTACCTTTCCAGGGTATTCTGTTGTTTTTGAGATGTATGGAAAGGAACATTAATGTCGCTCCCTGTGAAACAATACTATACTTGAATTCAGCAGGCAATGCTGTTTTCTCTATTGCTGATGTTCTACCTTATTGTGTTCCCCCTCCTGCCTTTTTTTTTTCACTTTGAGTGGTATTTGTGGGTTCCATACCATCGTTTAAGTCTGGTTGTAAGGATTCAGTTGCAGACAGAATTAACTTATTCCCCTGCCCCAGTAGTCACATTTAAAGTCTGATTTCTAGCTTTTATAATTGATTCTAGTTGCTATTTTAATATATTTAATAAAAGTGGCTGGGAAGGGAGCTCAGAAGACCTCTAGTTTAAAGTCCTGCTAAAAGCAGGGAGAACGTTGAATTCAAACTAGATTCTTCAGGGCTCTCTCCAGATGAATCTTGAAAACCTTCAAGGATGGAGATCCCAAAGCCTCTCTGGGCAGCCTGCTCCAGTGCCTGACTGTCTTCATGGTGAGGAATTCTCTTCCCTATGTCAGCTTGGAACCTCCTTTGTTTTAGGTTGATCATAGTTTCTTGTGCTCCTGCCATGCACCTTAGTGGCTCCCATCTTGTTGGTCACAGCCTAGGTGTCAGCTGCTGTTTCATCCCTTGAAGCGTGTAGGCCTGCGTGTAGGGCAAGTGCTCCAGTCCCCTGACCATCTTGGTTGTCCTCCGTTTTATTGGTGTACTTTTTGTAGTGGGGGAGCTCAAAACTGGCTGCTGCTGAGAAAATAAAGAGTCGTGAGTAAATAACCAGTTCCCTTAATATGTGGATATGATTCTGTTTATACAAACAAGGATGTTGTTAGCCTTCATTGTTGGCAGGGTGCAGTGTTGATTCATGTTTAGTTGCTAAAACCTCCCAGGTGATTGATGGTTGCCTTAAAGCTAAGCTGGGTGTCATGTGCATCTCGGGTACTGCTTTTGTTAGGTGCAAGTTCTGATTTAGCCTAATGTTTTTGTTATTTCAGCCCTGCAAAGTTTTCTCTTCCCACTGGACTGGTTCGTCTAGTTAGTAAGCAGATCAATTGGCACCTAGTACTTGCAAGGTAACCAGCTTACATGCTTCTTCCTGTTAATGCTTCTTCTCCTCCCTTCACCATCCCCATTGGTAAAAATGCTGAGTTCCTATTGCGCTGAAGTTATGTTGTTCTTTTTGGTCAAGAGAAATACTGGAGGCTTTCACAGGGAGCCTTGGGAACGAAAGGTCAGTCTGGTACCTGGGGATTTCCACGCTGCTTCACTTCATTTAGTGCATCTCTCACTCAGGTCTGAATGTCCTTCTAGCTTTTGAGGCAAAGTGGCTTGCAGTGCAATCCTTCTCTTTGGATCAGATTCAGGACTTGAGTTTGATCAGTTAAAGACCTATAACTTGGTAGCATATATAATATACATTGCTTATTTTAAAGTTTGTGGAAAGTGAATGCATACCCTCAAGACTTATCTACTACTGTATGTGTAGAGGAGAAGTGAAAGTTCCAAGGCTAGAAAGAGCTGTTCTGCATTAATTTTAGCAGCATCAGTGAGATCACTGGCTTTTAAAAACAAACATAAATATGTACAGAAAAAGGGTTCAATGACATGAAAGTAGTATGGAATGTTTTAGTGTGTTATGTATTGTCACTGAATATGATCAGTGGTTCAGCAAGAGCTCTGTACTGTTGAGAGAGATGGTGGTACTTTGAGGGAAATGGTGATCCCTTTTGATGCACAACATGCCGGTTGCAGTGTTGTATGTTAGGTACAAAGACAGGAGACCTGCTCCTGAGGATATGGCGTAACTTACTGAAGTATGATAGTTCTTTATTCCAGATAAAGCAGTACATAGTTTCAGATATTGCTGTTATAAAATTACCCATAAGCAACATTTATTCTGACCTCTCATGCAGCAAGATTTTAGATATTGTTTTTGTTTTCTTAGTGCTACTAGAAAAGAATTTCAGCGATGTGAAGGGAGTGTTAATATAGCACTGATTTTTTTTTTCCTGTTTTTGCATAAAAATTGATATATCCCAATTTGTTTTGGTTCATGAAAGAGGAAATTAATATCTAACCTTGCAGAAAAGCACTTAGAGCTCTGCTGCGCGTTCCATAAGGACTGGACTTTAAATGAACTTTTCACACCTTTATTTTTCTCTTTCAGCAATGGTAAACTGTTGGCAGTTGTTCAAGACCAATGTGTAGAAATCAGGTACCTTAGTATTATCTGTTGCTTCATGACTACAGTTGTGGATTTCTGAGAAAGTGTTTCTAGTCATTTGCTAACCACATTTTAAAATATTTTTCTAGTTTTTTTTTTTAATGTTTTATATTGGGATAGCAATCTATGGAACAATCTTAACATATCTTATCACTGACTTAAAAAGCAGAAGCCTTCTATTTCTTCTTACTTCTTGGCCATTCCCCATAAAAAAAACCACCTCCCCTCAAAACATCCCCCCCCCAATTATTAATGTTATAAATAAATGTATATAAGTATCTCTCTCTCTCTCTTTTTTCAAGATGTGAACAAACCCCAATCAAGATGCTTCAAAATACTAAACTCAAATCACGGTCTTTCTAACCTTTGCCTTTCTGCTCCCTTTTAAAGTCATCACGAGAGAATAGAAATTCTCCCCTAATAAATGGGACAAGGAGCTAGTATTCTGCTTCTCTGTAGAGTATAATACTGGCATGCATAATACTTCACCTTATTCTACAAGTAATGTGGATTTCCATAAAGACTGATGCTTTCCCTTTTTCTTCTGTTCTCTGAAAACAAGCTCTCCTTACCAGCTCAAGAACGCATTTAGCTGTAGAATGGATCTTGATTGAATGTGTTTACTTGCTTCGCAAAAATCCATTTGCTAGAAGGTCATACCTTCTATTTATATGTAAAAGAAGCAAGTGTATGAAAATTGTTCAATCAGAAGTGGTGTGAACACCATAAATGTCAGCTTATAGACTATAAAATAAATCTTGTGTTTCAACTGTATTAATGTAACTATATTCTTGCATTGTTTCCAGAATTGTCACCTAGAGAATACTGACTAGTGTTTTTTTTTTCCTTTCTTAAAGTTACATGCTGAATACTAGTACTAATACTAGTATTAGTATTTATGCGTTCGGAGGCGGGTTTCTAAAATACTGTTGTTTGTTACTGTAGCTGCCTAAGGGTGAAGGCTACTATCTGCCTTTTGGAACAAGAAGTTAAGTATATGCAGGCCTTCGAATTGTGCACTTAAAGTATTCGTATAGTGTTCTGCTTTTTTCTGGAAAATCAAATAGTGGTTTTTTTCATATTTAAATCCATATGAGTTTTTTTCTACAGGTCTGCTAAAGATGACTTTGGATCCATAGTTGGAAAATGTCAAGGTATACAATATGGCAACCTCTACATCATTACTTAGTGTCATCATTGTTTATTATTCATGCAGTGCTAAGTGGTGATGTCGGTTTACTTTATTGATAATGTTGTAACTTCTTAAAAGCGCTGAGAAGAATCTGTTAATAATTTGGCTTTGTGACTAGCTCCATTACCCTCTTCTTTTGCTCAAGATTAACTTATAAAACCTAAATCTGGAATGAAATGATAGTTAAAATTAGTAGGTTTTGGAGACATAGCAGGTGTTGGAGGTGGTGTGTGGGGTTTTTTTTTATTTTCTTCCCTCCTCTGAGATAAGCTTATAATGATGGTAGGCACCCTGCATTTTTTTGAATGCAGTTGATTTTTTTTTCCTGTTTAAAGTGTTATGTTTATATTTCACTTTTTAATAACTTTATTCTTTTTTTTATAGTGCCAAAGGATCCTAACCCTCAGTGGAGACGAGTGGCGTGGAGTCATGATTGTACGTTACTTGCTTATGCTGAAAGCACTGGAACAGTGAGAGTGTTTGACTTAATGGGTAGTGAGCTTTTGGTCATTACACCGGTAAGTGCTCTCTTAGATTGAATATGAATATAGTAGAACTTCTTAAAGAATAAAAGGTGATTTCCACTCATTTCAATCATGGCTTACCTTGGTATAAAGGCTTCCAGTATTAATACCATGCACAAACGTACCATGAAGTGCTTATCATATGATGGATATATTACAGTTAAACTGAAGTCATGTGTAGCACTTGCAAAGCATATCCTTTGTGCTGTTGAATCTTGTCAGAATATTCATCTTTCTTTTCTTTTTCTTAGAATTGTGATAGATCTGCAGGTACATCAGATTGTGAAAGTACAGAATCACCTAATTAGCATGTGTGCAAATAATTACAATTTGCAGTAGTAGATTACAAATCTTCAGTTTATATACGGAGTCACTTATAAATCAGGAAATACTGCTGATAGAGCAATATGAAGGTTTTTTTTTTTTTTTGGTATGAGAATAGATAATTGCAGTTGGATTGTCCTACACAATGTATTTTATATTTTGCATGTTCAATGTTGTATTAAACTGACTTGGGAAGTTTCTCAAGTGTATTTCCTTATTGTCTTTGCAGATTTTATAGTAATAAGATTTCTTTAAAATCAAGACAAAAGGAAGCGTAGAAACGATGAAAGTATTTTTTAATACGTTTTTATACAATATACTAAGTTTAACTTCCTAGTTCTTTCAACAACCAAGATTTTTTTTTTTTTTTAATTCTCTTTCTCTCTCAATGTCTGTCTGCATTTTTGGGTAAAGACAGCAAGTTTTCCAGGGGATCTGAGTTATGCTATTGCTGGATTGATCTTTCTAGAATATAAAGCAAGTGCCCAATGGTCAGCTGAACTGCTTGTCATTAATTATCGTGGAGAACTGAGAAGTTATCTTGTAAGGTAAGTATAAATTTTGACTTGCTTTGAGACGACACAGTAAACTTCAAAGGAATTCTTTCTGCTCTTCAAAGACAATAGATCTGAAATAATGTATGTATTCTTTTCCCCATATGTAGTGTTGGAACAAATCAAAGCTTTCAAGAAAGTCATAGTTTCAGCTTTAGCACTCATTATGCCCATGGAATAACTACTGTAATTTATCATCCTGGTCACAGGTAAGTGTTCTGTTTCCTACCTGCCAATAATGTGGAAATGATGAACAAAAGTGGCAAAATTAACATTGAAGTGTGTTGGATAAGGAGGGGGAGAAAAATGTAAAATCTATTCTAATATTGGTATTTAGTGAATCAGTAATAACAAGTCATGTATCATTGTACCTGTGAAAGAAGCCCTGGTTGGTGATCTCCTTTTACTAGTGGAATAATGAAAATAAAGTTGTGACTTTTACTGTTTGAGTACCTTGCATCGGCAACAGGTGTTAGAATGTCAGGAATAGGTTCAAAAAACGTTTCTGAATTTGATGGAGGTAAAGGCTGATGTATAAATTTGTTTGATTAATTGTTTTTTTTTCTGTCTGGATTTGATTGCTGGACTTGTTGGCCAGCCCATTTTCCCTAGTGTTCTGACTGGAGCTGCCAGGCTTTGGTATTTGGAGTTGTCTTGTGATGTGTTTTCTCTGTAAGTAATGTGTTGGGTACAGGTACCAGACTTGAAAGATGGACTAATTTACTGCCTGCTCTTGAACCAGATGTAGCTGGAATAGGTCCTAGTTAGCCAATTATTTATGTTAAAAATGTGTCGGACTTTTTAATATCTACTTGTTACATAGCAAGATAAACTCAGCAACTTATTTTTCTATTTCTCTTCAGTTATAGGAGCTAAACTTCCTTCTAGACATTTTTCTTCTACTAGATCTGCTAGGTTTGAATTTGTCAGCGTAATGTGTTATATCACTGTACTGTTTTAAATGGAAATTAAGCTTGACCATAGAATACTAGAAGAAACTCGCTGTTTAGAAACTTATTCTCATTCTTCTATGTTGAGTGAGCTGTCCTGTTTATCTTAGGAAAAGAAATAGTTATTAATGAGAAGTAATGTTCTCCTGGCTTACTACTTTGAGAGATTAAGTTTGAGTATGGTTTCTGCTTTCTACCGAGTTCATATCTAGTAATTCTACATAATTAATGCTCAGTATACTAAATCTGGAATTTTGAGGTAATAGGTGTGCTTAGCACTATCTGACCAGACAACAGAACTTACTCATTCTTTCCTTTGATCAAACCAGGGTTAATGGTTCTTGACACTTGTTTCCAAAGTTCTCTCTTCTACTCCTAATATTAGGAAGTAGGTTGATTATAACAGTGAGTGTTGTAAAGAATATTGGTTCATGTTCAAAGTATAGTCAAATAATTATTCTAACAATTATAATAGGTGGGTGTGCTTTTTGATGTGTTTCTGAGCAAATGATGTCAGAACTGTTAAACTCTTATAATTGATGAACTCATGAACAAGAAAATGCTTAGAAGATCAGCTGCCGTAGTTGTCAACCAAATAGCATGGACGCTGCTTTGTGTGTGCTAATTTAGAGATTTAAAAGAGGAGTAGGGGAAAAAAAAAGGCAAAAAATTCAAGTTTTGTTTTCTTTCGTTCCTCACACCTCCTCCAAGAGAAGTAATAGCTTTGATTTTCCTACTATTCTTATGAAGTCTTAGATTAACATTTTTAAAACTTGATATTAGTGTGAAGTAAAAGAGCAGGAGACAATGCTGATTTGTGCTTAGAACAGGCTATTCAGAATATTAGTAATTAAAGTTAGCTTTTTATGGAAGCTTATGGTTGGCATATTTTTTTTTGTTGTTGTCTGTATTTCATATTTTCTAGGGAGAGAAATGCCTTTTCGTTACATAAAAAGATGTGGTTATATCTGCTGCTGAAGTAATAAGTTTGTGTAGTGTGTGTGGCATACGCATTCAGGAAGTACTTGTTTTTACCAGGAGATACTATGGTACATTCCATGAAAATAAAAATAGTCAGGTGGAGTCCCCTGTGATCGTAGTGTATCTCCTGCTATGTGCAGTCACTTGACTTGCTTTGTAAATTTGAAAAATTGATACTTGGAAGAATGCACAATTGGACAACATGGATGGAAAACAAAAAGAACTGATATTTTGTCCTTCATGTAAGCAAGTCTTTTCTGTTTTGAATTTACTCTTTGGTAGAAAACTTCTAAATTTGACAGTAGAGCACTCTAAATTCAGTAGCAGAGCCTCTTGCTGAAGTTGTCTTGTTATCTAAAAAAGCCCCAGGAGTTGAAGGGAGGCAGTTTTCTTATATTGTGTATTAGCGAAAATTGTAGATACATATGAACACTTTGAAGTTTTCATTTTTGATAATGTGAACTTTCATCACGTAACGTAAGTTCAGCTTTGTCGCTTTATGCTTTCTTGCATTTCATTTAGTTTCACATGTTGAAGTTATACTGGTCTGTCTCCACTGCTTGTAAGCCTTGACTTTCTGCACTCTATATTTCTATGTATTTGCTCGTTACCTATTACAGTGCAATAAAATAGCACTTAAGGACTTAATACACCTAATTTTTTCAGCTAGATGTACAATAATTGCAAAGAGAATATTTCAGTAGGGAATGTATCTGAATCTGTAGGAAAACTTGAAACAATAGCTTTGGGAAAAAGTCTATTAATGATTTTCACTGCTGTTGAAAAGTGTTACATACCTTAATTTAGATGCCTAATGTTGGTGTTCTCATGTGATTCAGCCTTCATCTGTGATGGAATTTATGGTGTACTTTAGCTGATGAAACGTAAATGTCTGCTTCAGTGTGAGCTCTCTGTAGGCTCTGACGGAAGGTTCAACACCTGCTTATTTGGAGTATCTTAATCTGGAGCTGAATGTCTTACTTCAGGGTTATCTGCAATTGCTACAGAAAATGTTGGATATTGGAGCTTAAAATTTGTGATGACTATAGGAGATGAAAGGTTTTAGATTCAGTTGGAATTTGTTTGTTATACCAAAACTGATGGGTGAAAAATTATGCAAGAAGTCTGTTTTTTCTTGGATGCCTTAGCTGAACTTGCTGTTCCAAGACCAATATTATACTAGTTATCTTCAGCCCAACCTTGTAGAAAGCTTTGAAATAGAGTACAGTTGCGGTACTGCATACTGCAAGGACAGCTGTTTTTTTGAAACTAGAGTAACCTCTGATGATCACCTTATCTGTTCCCCTTCACAGCAGGGTCAACTAGAGCAGGTTGCTTGGAGCCGTGGCCATCAGGTCGAGGGAGGTGATTGTGCCCCTCTGCTCTGATGAGACGCCACCTGGAATACTGTGTTCAGCTCTGGGGCCCCCAACACAAGAAGGACATGGAGCTGCTGGAGCGAGTCCAGAGGAGGGTCACGAAGATGATCCGAGGGCTGGAACACCTCTCCTACGAAGACAGGCTGAGAGAGTTGGGGCTCTTCAGCCTGGAGAAGAGAAGGCTCTGGAAAGATCTTACAGCAGCCTTCCAGTACTTAAAGGGGGCCTACAGGAAAGCTGGAGAGAGACTTTTGACAAGGGCGGGTAGTGACAGGACAAGGGGCGATGGATTTAAACTGAAAGAGGGGAGATTTAGATTAGATATATGGAAGAAATTTTGTACAATGAGAGTGGTGAGGCACTGGAACAGGTTGCCCAGAGGAATTGTGGATGCCCCATCCCTGGAGGTGTTCAAGGCCAGGTTGGATGAGGCTTTGGGCAACCTGATCTGCTGGAAAGTGTCCCTGCCTGTGACAGGGGGGTTGGAACTAGATGATCTTGAAGGTCCTTTCCAACCCTAACCGTTTTATGATTCTATGTCCCTGCATTCCAAGACTTGCACACCTGTATCATCCCTTAGGAGTGTGGACTGAGTTAAGTCCTTTATGTGCTGGGGTCGCTCCAGTGGGTGCTGGGGACTGAGCCTGGTGGTGCATCATCACAGTTGCTGAGAACATACACAGAGAGAGTTTCTGGTCCCATTTTCTGCAAACAGCCATCCAAAATGCGGTATCCGTTGGCTGTGCTCTAGGCCTGGCGCTTATGTAGGTATTTTTTTAGGATCTGTTGAAGGGTTGCTGACCCTTACTAATCTGGAGTTGGCTGGAACAAAATCTCAAAGCACGCTTTGACTAGGAACAGCTGGCAGATCTTGTTAAAAGCTTCTAGAGCTTGCTAGCTAGATCTCCCTGGCAATGGCAGGCATCGTGAAGTTCCTCAGAGACTTCACAGGAGTTCTCTGATGATCCCAGAAGTATGTAGAAGGTTAGGAGGATCCAGAAATGGAGCATAGAAACTGCTGCACAAACTGCTGCATGCTAGCTCTGCTCTGTGTAGAAAACATATGCAGGAATATTTAAGATTTTAACATTTTAAGTATTAAAGGATATTGCATTGATCTTGATGTTCATAATGACGTAATAGACAAATCTTTCCCTTCTAGGTAGTTACTATTAAGTGTCACATATTAACTTAACATTGCTTTATGGCCCATCTGGAATGGCACAAAACAACAGCTGATATAGTGTGATTTAAGAACCCAGGTATTTGGCCAGGAAAAGTAGTTTTTCACATTACTGGGACAAACAGAGGCTGGCATGGTATCTTCTTCTTCAGGCTGTGACTAAGTTAAAGGAAAAAAAAAAAGTAAACACGAGAAAAACCTCTCCTGTTGCTGTTCCCAGTCTACCTGTCAACTTGTTATTTTGGAGTCATCTCCTGTCTAGTCTTGAAAAAATAATTGGTAAATAAGGCCAGATCTTTGCTGAGGCTCTCAAGAGTACCTTTCATTTTCTTTTGGTGCCAGCTATGTTACTCATCTTAATAGTTTCTGTCCCTGCTGTTGCGTTTTGCTCTCTGAAAAGCTTTTTAAAATTTTAAGTGTGTGCTGCCATGATGAATTTCTCTGCAGTCCTGGGAGAAGGCTTTTTTGTCTTGAGGTTGTGTGTTTGTGTGTGTCTAAACTGATACGACGTCTTCATTCCAGCTGTCATTTAGTTTCATTTATCCTAAAAGATACTTCTGAATTATAGATATGTTGCACTGTGTGTGACAGTTTTTTCGAAATTTCTTTGAAAAGATTTATCTTGATGGAGTTTTTGAGAGCTAGTTCAGGAAGTTTTGGAGTGACTGCTGTCACTATTATTCATGATTCTTCTCTTGGTCTTTGTGTTACTATTTGTCTTAGTCACCTCTGGCACAGTGTGGTCAATTGTAATTGAGTTTTAGTCACTGCTACTGTTGAAATTTTTTAATTCAGTGGCAAGTTGCAATGGAAGTTGGAGCTTATGGAAGAATTTAGGTGTCTATGGATGGACAAGACAATAGAGAAATTAAACTTCCAGAGGATTGTGCCAGTTGGCTTTTGGTTATTAGGAATTCACAGCTGTGTTGTAGAGATTTCATGAAGTTCTTGTTTACTGATTTTTAATTTTTTTTTTTTTTTGTAGAGCTTTTCCTCATGAAAGGCTGTGAACGAGACATCACACTTGCTTTCTTTGCTAAAAAAAAGTTAGGGAGTTTATCACTTTATGCATAATGATCTGTATAACATTGATCTTGCCAACATCTTTTCAGTGTTTTAAGATGTGATTTCATGATATTAGAGACTGTACTGAGATGTTGGGGTACCCAAACATGTTCATTCTTGACTAGCTAAAATGAATATAAGCTGCATGATGTACAGCGGGGTAGATAAAGTATTTTACCCTAAAACCTATCAGTACTGTTACAAGGAATTTCATGTGGTGTGCTGTGTCTCTGCTGAAAATTTAGGGGTTTGGGTGGTTTGTTTTTTTTTTTTTTTTTGATACAGATGTGTGCTGCAAGATATTTGAAAGCTTACTACTTCCTTGTTTCTTACTGAAGTTCCTCAGAAGAACCATGTAATGTCTAATAGATGGCTTTTGTATGAATTGGGGGAGGATCAAACAATTTACATTGTTTGATCAGTGGCAGTGTGTCAAGTTAAACAACAACAGTATGACATTTACTCTGAAAATTTTTCTGTTCCCAAGTCCATTTTTCTCCTAGCAATCAGCAGAAAATCTGATATTAAAATATTTTGTGTAGTTCTGAGAACTGCGTTGTTTATTAGTGGCTGTACTTCATGTGTTGTTATTTTCCATGTTCCTGAAGGATTGATGTTCTCTCCAAGCCTTCCTCAGTTAAAGTAACTTTCTTATCAAAGAATAGTAAACTGCTCAAGTACTTTCTGGTATTTGTTGCTGTCCCAAAATTGAATGAAATTAAACTTGCTATGTTGTCTTGCTTTTTGCTTCTGATTTCCTCAGTTGTGAGAGTATGAAATTGCTTAAATATTCTGATTTTCAATGTCTACCTTTCCATTATTGTTATTTTTAACCAACTGCTATAGTCTTTGAGAGTCCTGGTACAGAGACATCCTCAGATCGAGCTTGTGCTTAGTATCATGTGCATAACAAAGCCCTCTTACTAGTATTTTGGGTTAAAGTGGCATCTTTAAAGTGGCTTAGCTGTGTTGTGCTTTACTTTCTGATCATAAGAACAAATGCAAAATTATCCATTTTCGTGTTAATTGTGATGGTAGACTGAGAGACTCCTGTTGCTGTTTTTGTGGGAAATGGCGAAAGTGATTTCTGTTTTCCTGTCTTAGGCAACTCTTTACAAAATAACTCCACAAAATAACTAAAACTCTTAAGAAACTTAACGGACTGTAAGCATCCATGGTAGGAGTCATCTTGCTGTATGTTTGTGCATAGCATGAGACCTAGGAATGTTAAGTAAGTTTCACTGAACTCTTAAATAAGAGGATTAAACATGGAAGGATTTTATTTTTCTTTTTTCTTTCAGTTGACTCTTGCAGGAAATGTTTTGAAATACACTCAAATCACAGCTGAGAGCTATGTGAGCATCAGCCACTAGGTGGTAGAGCGTTTCAAGAGTAATGCAGACTTCAAAAATTGATGAAGGAGTGTTCTCAGGGCTGAACTTCTGGCTTTTCCAGTCTGTGCCTTTTTTGCAGATGCTTTACTTTTTGATGGGTTGTTCACTAAAATGATGCTTCTAAACAAATGTAAACATCTGTTCTCAAAGTTTTCATCAAAGTAATCATCAGTTAAATATAAAACTGCTTATTAATAAGGTGAAGGGCTTCAGAGGAAGAGATATTGATACATTTTAGTGGTAATCAGCAATAATTGTAAGAGTTCACTCAGAGTTTTTAAAATATCATCTACTGTGTGTAATGAAATTATATGGATGCTTATAATTGGTAGAGTGGCTTTAGAAAACAAGATTGAAAAACCTTGATGCATTTGGTTCCTTAGTAAAAGAGGAGTAGCTTTTGTATCAGATCTGAATACATGGAAACCTAATGCTTAAACTGAACGACCAGAACTTTTCATAAGCTTAAGCTGCAATTGTTATCATTCTTTGAGAGTAGGGGAAAAACTCAAATCTGTAGCCAGACATAGTTTATTTTAAATTTTGGGAATTATGCCGTATTTGGAAAGCTAGATATGAGAATGGATAGGAGTAAATGCCACAGATAACAAGTGTTACTCAAGTAATATTTGAGTCTCTTTAAACTTCAGGGTGTTTATTCACAGACCAGGCTTATTGAAGCTGTTCGGTATCTTAATATACTTAGTGTTTTTGTTACTGCAAGCAAACAGCTATAGTTCTGGCCAATTAAAAAAAAATTAATTATGTGGCAGAATATGAAACCATAATATGCTTTTATATATTTTACAGACTTCTGCTTGTAGGAGGCTGTGAAACAGATGAAGATGGAGTATCTAAAGCAGCTGGTTGTGGGATATCTGCTTGGAGAGTTCTGTCAGGCTCTCCCCATTATAAACAGGTCACTAGCTATGAAGATGACATTAGAACAGTAAGTATGTTTCCTCATTTTACTGGATGAATATTGTCACTGGCAGAATTATCTAACTGGAAGTTCAGTATCAATCTCTTCTTCAAAGAAGAATATAATGCAATATTTTGCTATTTTGTCAGCTGTGATGTGAACTTTTAAGAAGTTATCTCTTCTCCCCCCAATGTCTGTCTATTTATGCTTTTTCTGTAATATGATTTGAAGTTTTAAGTTCTTGATTATCACTTGTGATTTAAAAAAAAAAACACAAAACAACACAACAAAACAGCAAGAAATGATAAAAAAATTATAGTAAGGAAATATACAAATTCCTTAATTGTGTTATAGGGTATGTTACCTGTCTTTGGAAAAAATCCAGTTATTTTTGTCTGGTTTTTACTTAATGAAAAAAGGCAGCACACCTGAAATAAATATTTCTGTGTAAGTCTGACTCTTGATTTCTTTTGTTTCTGATAGAAGTAAATGTTTGATTTGATAGCAGCTACTGTATGGATATACTGAAATCAAGTTACAGTATACTAGGATAAATTCCAGCATTTACTCTTATATAGATATTGCTTAGTATTAAAAGTAAGCTGTTAATTTTGTTGCAAGTGGGTAGTACTTTACTGTGGCGTGATGCAGACCTAACAAAATGAACAAAGTTATACAAACTGCATTTTATTATCCTTGCGTTATTTTAAAATGGGCCCTTATGGAAGTTGAAAGAATCCTGCAGAGTTGTTTTAGTGCTTTAGATACAACTCGGTTTTTGGTGCATCAGTGTATGAGATTGTCTTTCATTATATGATATGTTTCTATTCTTACAGGCACAGAGAAAAGGATTATTCAGGATTATGAATTTAAGATTTTACAGCAGACGGGGAACGGAACAGGTATTAAAGTCTAGGTCTAGCTCAGAAATGTGTTTTACTGACTTAATTGTCCATTGATGACTGCCTGAGAGACTGATTTGAAAGTAGCATTTAATTTATGCAACTTAAGAATTAATATTTCTGTAAGACTTATAAAAAATAATAAGCTTTCAGCTTTAAATGGAGTAGCTTGCCATTTATTTGTCTTTTTCAAAAATCCAATTAGTTCGTGTACTGAAGCTTGAATCTTGGGGTTTTCAGCATACTGACAGGAACAGGTCTAGAGATACAGGGTTCAGTATGAAATGTAAACTCTTATACAAAAAGGAAGGTGTAAAAAGCCACCTAGTTATTTGTTAATAAATGTAATGAACATATGTTAGGTGTTATATGTTCTACAAGGAGAGATTAGATTGTGGCTATGTTTCTCAAGTATATGCCCAAGAGAGAAATAAGAGGAACTCCAAACCTCACCTTTTTGCACTGCCTCAGTCCCACTAGAAAACAAACAAAAAACCCCTCACATTACAGCCCAAAATTTTCATATGCTGTGGGGAAGAAAAAGTTAGTGAATTTAAAAGCCATTCGTGGCTTAAATAGTGCAGACACAAAGACTTCATTTTTACTGTCTGTTATTGAGATACAATGGAAACGTTTTGCTAAGTAGCTCTAAAGGTTTATTGTGGGTAAAACTACTACTACCAAGACACATGCAAACCTAATGAAACTGACTTGCTCTTAACAACTCTGGGTATGGGTCTTGTATTCTCCTCTCCACTGAATGAGGGAATGTTAAATCTGAGTGTCATGCTGAGGTGTAGGTGTGTGTTTTCTGTATTGCCAAGGCTTTGCATGCAGTGCTTGTGGCTTTCTTCTACATGCCTTAGGAGCTACCCATGCAGTACTGCACCACCTTCTCCTATCTCTTGTCTTCTACTTGTGTGTAGCCTTTGTTTGATTCTTTTTTTATCCCCATTTCCCTTCTTGTGAAAAAATTTATTCTCCCTTCTTTTGCTTTATAAGAAAAGAACAGTAAAGAATCTGTCTACCACCTTCACTGTGTCCTCCTGAGAGGAAAAATGGCAGGTCTGAAGTCATACAGACTTTGGAAATGGCCTTAATAGATTTTTAGGATGTTTAAATGACTGGTTAAAAGAAGAAATTGCATGCTTGATTGGAAGGGAAAAACAAATCTTTCTGAATTTCTCTCAAGGGTGGAATGGGGAGAGATTTTACTTCCTTCACTGAAAATATAAAAGAGAAGGCTGAAGTAAACTTTTTTCACTGGAAGGCTAGTACTGAATGTAACTGTACTAAACTTCAACCTCAGTATGCTTGCCAGTGCTAAATTTACAGAGAAAAGCAAAGATTGTTGTTCATCTGTGAATGTTTTAATCCGATTTCGGAGATTATGCTTTAAATAGAATCGTAGAATCATAGAATGGTTAGAGTTGGAAGGGACCTCAAAGATCATCGAGTTCCAACCCCCCTGCCATGGGCAGGGAAACCCTCCACTACACCAGGTTGCCCAAAGCCTCATCCAACCTGGCTTTGAACACCTCTAGGGATGGGGCATCCACAACTTCTCTGGGCAACCTGTTCCAGTGCCTCACCACCCTCTGAGTGAAAAATTTCTTCCTTATATCTAATCTAAATCTGCCCTCTTTCAATTTAAAGCCATTGCCCCTTGTCCTATCACTACACACCCTTGTAAAAAGCCCCTCTCAAGCTTTCCTGTAGGCCCCCTTTAAGTACTGGAAGGCTGCTATAAGATCGCCCTGGAGCCTTCTCTTCTCCAGGCTGAACAGCCCTAACTCTCTTAGCTTGTCTCCATAGGAGAGGTGCTCCAGCCCTCAGATCATCTTTGTGGCCCTCCTCTGGACTCGCTGCAGCAGCTCCATGTCCTTCTTTTGTTAGAGACTCCAGAGCTGAGCACAGTATTCCAGGTGGGGTCTCATGAGAGCAGAGTAGAGGGGTAGAATCACCTCCCTCGACCTGCTGGCCACGCTTCTTTTGATGCAGCCCAGGATACGGTTGGCTTTCTGGGCTGCCAGCGCACATTGCCGGCTCATGTTGAGCTTCTCATCCAGCAGCACTCCCAAGTCCTTTTCCTCAGAGCTGCTCTCAATCCATTCTCCGCCCAGCTTGTATTTGTGCTTGGGATTGCCCCGACCCACGTGCAGGACCTTGCACTTGGCCTTGTTGAACTTCATGAGGTTCTCACAGGACCACCTCTGAAGCCTGTCAAGGTCCCTCTGGATGGCATCCCTTCCCTCCAGCGTGTCCACAACACCACACAACTTGGTGTCATCTACAAACTTTCTGAGGGTGCACTCGATCCCATTGTCCATGTCACCAACAAAGATATGTGAGGTATAGTTCATATTCTTAGTGGGAAATGGACAACTGTTAAGGTATGACAGGCACAGCATCTAGAGGACTTGCATATTAGTGCTAGCTATATTGGGATTTGATTCTCAGTTTCGCCAACTTAAATGACACTTATGAAATGTGAAGTGCCAACCTGCTGAGGTTTTCAGTGTCTTGTTCTGCAGTTCCCTTACGTTGATGAGTGTTGCCTGCTTTGCCGAAGGACTGGTTAGTCTCTGTAGATAACAATGCTCAGGCGATAAATTTGAATGTGTTCATGGCCACACGACATTTAAATTTAGCAGCAACAGAGTTATGACTGACTACTGAGTAAATGTTTTAACCCTTGTTAAGATTCATGATATACGCCACTAACCGTTTATCTGAAAGGGTTATGTGTTTTACCTATACGTTTCTAAGTCCTTTCACAGGCTCTTGTTCTTTGTACTCTCTGCATGCAACTTGAGTTGTAAAAAGAGAATTGCCATTAGTATGCATATACAATTCCCTGGCAAACTCTAATGGAGATTACGGTACTCTAACTGCTTAAGAATATAATCAGAGAATACTTAAGAATTATTTATATTAGAAAAAAAATCATAATTGGTTTAAAAAAACCTTAATAGTGCTCTCCTTTTCAATTAAAAAGACATTTAAAGCTTGGATTTAAGCAGTGCTCTCAGTAGCTGCAAACCACTGTACAACAGTCAGCAGATTACTTGATCATCATTGCTTCTGTGGCATAGCTAGAACTTAAAACAGCCTAAGAAATAAAGTAAATAAAAATAATAAAATAATTTAAATAATAAAATAATAAAACCCCCACAAACCCAAACAAACAAGCCAACTCTAAAAGAATATTGGTATCTTCAGATGATCCCTAGCTCGTGTGCTGTAGGAACTCCATTCAAACTTCTTAATCGTATAGACACCTAGTAACTTTTCTGTACTTTATGTTGTGTGTTTGGGGTGTTTTCCAAGACGGGAGGTGCTGGCTTAAAAATTGAATAGCTGCAGACTTGAATAGTTCTAACATTACTGTAGGTTGAGTCTTTATTAGGAAGTTTTTAAAAGCCAACTGCGCTAACAAAATGGGATTTTATAAACAATAGAAATTTTGGGAATCTATATCCTTCTGTCCTTAGGTGAAGACTAGACTCTCTGAGAACCTAATGATCTTTCTGAAAACATAGAAGTTGTGTTGAGGATGGAGGAAATAAATATAAATTGTATTTTCAGAAACTGCTATGCATTGCCAGTGACACTAAGTTTGACTCGAAAAATTAAATATATATTTAGAGGATCTTGTCTCATGAAAATAGTGTATAGATCCAGCTACAATTGTGTAAGATTTTTGTGAATTCTTAAGGAAGTATTTTATTTGAAGTACATTTTGTCTCTTAAGATATCCAGAGCTGAAGGAAAACTTCATCCAGGAGAATTTTTGTAGCCTTGATGAAATTTAGTTACGGATGTTGAATTACTACTTCTCTGTGGACTTAACCTGATCTTTGCTGTATTGCTGTTTATTTTATTGTTACCTAAGGGATTCTTAAATTCACACTCAGTGTCCTGTAATGAACAAGGTGGTCCTTCAAGATCTCAACTGCGTATCTCTCATATCCCCTTTGTTTTTAACGACACCCAGCAAAAAGTTTGTTTCCAGGGAGGAAGAGCTGTACTAAGCTGGTTTGGGTAGCACTCGTCCTTGGGTGGACTTGAGAGGCAAGACAGTAGAAAACTGAGGTTGCTGAGTGTTTTGTCTGAACAGATGATTTGAGAACAACCTGCAGTTTTTCCTCCAACTAGCTCTGCGTTGCTCTCTGCAATGTTCTCCTAGGAATGCCACACTTCACATTTTGTTTGCTCTATGACAGTGTGATACAGAAGTTCATGTTCCTAAACATTTGTTAGTGTTATGATAGTGTTCTTTCTTTAGTTGTTTAGGGTGTTTTGGTTTTTTTTTTTTCAAATTTAAAGCATATTACATTTTCAGGATGGAAGAGTGTACAATTTTTTTTTTTCCTAAAGTAGAAAAAATAGTTTTGGGTTTTACATTTTTCTGTGGTTTTTTGTTTTTTTTTTTTTTTATTACTTGAGGAGTGCTGGGTTGTTTATTTGTTTGTCTTACTTTGCTGACATATTATTTGGCAGGATGGAGTTTTCAAGATGAATCTTTCTCCTGATGGAGCTCTTCTGGCAGCTATTCATTTCTCAGGAAAACTGACAATCTGGTCTATTCCATCTCTCAGACAACAAGGAGAATGGGACCAAACTGATCAGGTAAGAAGGATGTAGATATTTAGAAATTGACAGCATATGTTTTAATCCTCTGGAGATGTGTTTTCCTAGGAGATGAGAGTAGCTACATGCTGTCTTTCCAGTCAAGTCCATATTTTTCCAAGAGCGCTATATTTATTTTTACAATAACCTATGTTTTAACTGTAAGCCTTAAACTTAAAAATTAAGAAATGAACCAATTGTGTTGGAATGAATTTTTCATGAGGCGTTTTGATGCCAAGTGGGTAACACTGGTACATGTAAACTGAAATGCTATTTTTAAAATGTAGGTGGGGAGACCAACACAGGTAATTTTGTTTGAATGGTTGAAACCAAATTCTGCTGTATGTCTAAAGTGTTCATCTATTACTTTCTCAATGCTTTCTACAGGAACTGTTTGCAAAAATGAGTAGGGGAACTTAAGTGAGGAACTATCCAGACACTGGCAAACTTTTACGTGACTAGGGTGAATTTAAACACTGGGAACTGAAAGCTAACTAGTTTTCAAAGAAAATTCCAGAAGGTTCCAAAATTCACAGTTTTTGTAGAATGTTTTAAATTCTTCAGGTTTATACATTCGTATGAAACACAGATAGCTTTTCCCACACTCTATTGAATTTATCTGCAGTCTATGCATTGTGCAGTAGGTAGTAGAAGGTCTACAACAAAGCACTTCCTGACATTAAACATAGGCACGGGTTTCTCTGATAATAAAGAGGACAAAATGAAGGCAGACGTCTTCCTTTCGGTATCATGGTGGCAATGAATTAAATGAAGGTTTTCAAGAAAGATTACAAAAAAGGTAGGCTAAAAACTTTTACTATAGGAAAGATTTAAATCAATAAATACTTATAGAGATAGTGGTGGTGTGTTACCATACTGAACACTGCTGGTGCACTGTTACCTTTTTGATTTGACAGCAAGAGCAAGACTCCTGACTTGGAAACATGAGTGTGGTCTTGTGTAACATAACTTTTGGTTCTTACAGGTAAGCTGGTTAGGCTGTACTGACTATGAAATTATTCTGGGTCTGGCAGGAATGGAGTTCATGTTCTTTATAGCAGCCCACATGGTGCTGTGTTTTGGATTTGTGGCTAAAGCAGTGTTGCTGACACACCAACAGGCCACTGATGTTCAATGCTTGCACAGCAGCTCCTTCTCAGTAAAGTGGAGAGGAGAAAAATATAATAAAGGGACTGAGGGTTGAGACAAGAACAGAGGGAGCACCCACCAACCATGGTCCCGGGTAAAACAGACTTAGCTTTCTCAAAGCAAAACAATTTATTAACGGTTACTTAAAAGAACAAAGGGAAACAAAACCGGTTACTTGAGAGGATAAAAAGAAACAAAGCCAGATCTTAAAACTGACACCTTCCTCCTCCCTGCAGCGGTGCAGGGACTGGGGGAGTGCAGGTCAGTTCATCCCGTGCTGTTACTGCTGCTTCTTTCTTAAAGGAGAAGGAGTCCTTACACCTTTTTTGCCTGCTCCTGTGGATCCCCTACCCAAGAGGAAAAATCCACAAACTTCTCCAGCGTGAGTTTAGCCCACAGGATGCAATCCTACTCCATCGGATTGCCCCAGTGTGGGCTTTACCACAGTCTCGGATTCTTAGGGAGTTGTAGCCACTCACTCTGGTGTGGGTCATCACGCAGACTCCAGATGCCTCTCTACCTTGTTGTGCGTCCCAACACGACCATCCTCAGGCTCAGGCATCTTCTCCCCCCGGGCTGTG